AAACAAAGCAGCTCTGACTGCCTGAACCAAGAGGAGACACGTTATTCAGCACAAAAAAAGACACGGAACGCCATGTATGGTATGATTCCATTTGAACACATCAGAAATATTTTTTGAATACCTATGTGCTTACACATTTTTCTCTGAAAAGATACACAAAACTGTCACTTTGCAGAAGAGGGACAGATAGAGGCGAGGATAATATACCTTTCATTTTGTATCTTTCTGTATGATTTGAAATTTTTTTTTTACAGTGAACAACAAATATTTTCTGAGCACCTACTGTTCACTGTTTTAGGCATGGAAGACATAGCAGTCAACAGAAAAGACAAAAATTCCTGCCCTCCTGAAGCTGACATCCTAGCGGGGAGAGACAGACAATAAGCAAAATATATACATTCTAGAGCGTGTCTGGCAGTGCTACTGGGCACGTGGTCCACAGGTCGCTGACAATCCGCACTTTGGGACCAGTTCGTACCAAGGTGAGGAACGAGCACTACAGCACTGAGCACGCTGTTTAGTTCAGCGAACATTTTTTTCTCATAAGACTTTCTCGACAAAGGAAGCAGAGAACTGGTTCACATCCTGGCACAAACAAACCCCTTATGTCACGGCGAACAGGTAATATACAGTTCCCCGACCGGTTGGCTGAAAGATGTTAAGTGTTGAGAATAAAGGAAGAGTTTTTTTAAAAAGTGGTCAGGGACGTTCTCAGTCAAACAGTGACCTTTAGAAAATACTTAGGTGTGAAAACAAAACAAAACAGGAAGCAACATGGGCCAGGAAACATTCGGTTTCACTCACCAGGAAAGGTGTGCAGACCCAGGTGAAGGTGCCCACGGCCGCCAGGTAGGCCGACTTCTTCAGCACCTTCAGCTCCTCCTGCCTGATGGCCAGCACCTTGTTCTTGAACGCCAGCTCCCAGGCGTAAAGCTTGAGCACTTTGATCCCGTTGAGAATTTCGTTCATCAGCTTGATCCGGTTGTCTTTGCTCTTCATTTGCGCCACCTTCCGAGAGAGAGGGGCAATCAACGCCACGTCGGGGGGCTGGCCCCAGCATTGGACTGTCACTCAACACCACCATCTATTAAAAACGGGCCTCCTGAGGGTGGGTGGACCAACCCTCCTAGGACCTCACATGTCCTACCCTTGGCCCTGAGACCACGTCAAAGGGCTCCTCTACCAAGACGAAAAACCTGCTTCGCATCACATTAGATTAGACATTAGAGAAAACTACGCAATTTAGAATTGAGGAAAAGAGGCAAGAAAAACCCTTCTGGTATCCTGAGAAGGAGGGGCATGGCCCTATTCTGACCCAGGCACGGAACAGATGGCGTTTTTCTTCTCCGGTTTCTTATTTTTTTAATTTTCACCTGTACACGGTTGTTAAAATAGCGAAATGCTTCTGTACCAGTTGGCACTACTTCCGACCAGCGGGTGCTGGTGCTGTACAGCTATTAAATATTTTTAATACCACCCAGCATTTTCACATGCCAGGCGTCTAAGCATTTTACATGCATATTTAGCCATTGAACACTCACAAGGACCCTGGTGTTCAGTGCTATGGTCACCGCTGGGTCGCAGATGAGGAAACTTTAAGCCACGTGACCTGGAGGGCAGCAACGGAAGCTGTCTCGGGGGTGGGCAGCTTGAGGAAGCCCAAACATCCAGAGGATGAAAAGTGAGTCGGCCCCAAGCCCCCCCGACCCCCGCCTGTCCAACCGTCCCCACTCCACGGGGCCCCTCACTCCAACAGGCCCGTGCCCTGGAACTCGTCTCCCTGCGGCAGCATCAGTGTGGCCGAGGGCTCCCGTGTGAAGTTTCACAGCACATCATAAACACCCATCAGCGATGGAGCGGACCAAGAAAGTGGCCTCTTTTATGGACCATTAGGCACCAGTTCAAGTGAGTAAATTCCGGCTATGAAACACAGCCCTTTGGGAAAGATCCTCGAAGCCCGGTACTAAATGATATTAATAAAATCATGCTGCCAAGCAGGCCCGTTTGGGTAAAACAGATACGGTGATAATACACACATACACACCGAACCTAACTATTTAATCAGATCTGTGTATAAACACATAGGAAGTTCTAGAAGGATTCGCTTTGATGCGTTCACAGCGGTTGAGCGGGAAGGGGAGGCCATCCTCTTTTAATCTATAGACTTT